GACAGACAGACAGACAGACAGACAAGGGCAGATAGGCAGGCAGACAAACAGAATAAGAGAGAGAGACAGAGAGAGACAGACAGACAGACAGACAGAGATAGAGACAGAGATATGAGGCAGACAGAATGAATGAGAATGAGGCAGACAGACAGACAGGCAGACAGACAGACAGACAGACAGACAGACAGACAGACAGACAGACAGAGACAGAAACAAAGACAGAGCCAGCGACAGACAAGACACACAAACCTATACCTCCCTCCCTCAGCATTCGCGATCACATCCAACTCTCACAGACGTGGAAACACTCTCCAACCCAACCCCAGCCACCGTTGAGTCAAGGAGACATACCCTTTAAGGTTGATATTTAATCAGAAGGAGCACAGAAACGTAACCCTTACAGACCCACAGCCGTTGTCTCGTGAAGAATTCATGCAAGGGCGCATAGGGTGACTGGCGAAGGGTGTAGCGCGGGCCGGGTGTGCTTCTCATATCGAACTGCTGTTTCAGAGATACCGAATGTGTACTGTTTTAGAGATACCGAATGTTTACTGTTTCAGAGATACCGAATGTTTACTGTTTCAGAGATACCGAATGTTTACTGTTTCAGAGATACCGAATGTTTACTGTTTCAAAGATACCGAATGTTTACTGTTTCAGAGATACCGAATGTTTACTGTTTCAGAGATACCGAATGTTTACTGTTTCAGAGATACCGAATGTTTACTGTTTCAGAGATACCGAATGTGTACTGTTTCAGAGATACCGAATGTTTACTGTTTTAGAGATACCGAATGTTTACTGTTTCAGAGATACCGAATGTTTACTGTTTTAAAGATACCGAATGTTTACTGTTTCAGAGATACCGAATGTTTACTGTTTCAGAGATACCGAATGTGTACTGTTTCAGAGATACCGAATGTTTACCGTTTCAGAGATACCGAATGTTTACTGTTTCATATAAAAGAAAGTGTTTTAGAATATTGAATATATATATATAAGGGTGCTTAAAACTATGTACAGTTTTATATGAACAAAAGGTGTTTAAAATGTTGAATATATATAAAAGGGGTCTTTAAAATATCGATTGTGTACTGTCCCATAAAATAATGATTCAAATATCGATTGTGCATTATTCCATATACAATGTTGTTTGAAATATTGTATATTTACTGTTCCTTATCAAAAAGGTTTTTAAAATATCGAATATGTACTGTCTTGTCTCATATAAAAAATAGAATATCGATTGTGTACTGTTTCATATCAAACATGTAAAAAAAAGTCTACAGATTATCGATTGTGTATTGTTTCACATAAAAGATCGATTGTATACTGTTTCGTATCCAAAAAAATATTGAATATTTACTATGCTATATAAAAAGCTGTTTTTAATGCACTGTTCCATATCTAAAAGGTTTTAGATATCGAATATCCATTGTTTATCATTTCGAATTGTTTCATATAAAAAAAATAATAAAGTTGTTGGTTATTTACTGTAATATATCAAAAGGATTTTGAACACGTTAGCATGAACGGTGGTCGTAATTTTGACCATGACATATTTTAATTCACGTTATAATATGTAAAAAAAAAAAAAAAAAAAAAAAAAAAAAAAAAAAAAAAAAAAAAAAAAAAAGCTAGTCGAAACCGAATAAATAATAAATAAAGGGAAATGGGGAAACACCAAAAAAAAAATAAAAAATAAAAAAATAACTAAAATAAAAAAATACAGGAAAAAAGACAATCGAGATGTGGGTCAAACCGTAGAACGACGAGAAAGGAAAATCGAAGTCACCCCAACAACCGGACAATCAGACGAAGCACAAAAAAAACGGGAAGCGTACAGAAAACGGAGGCAGTGCCAGCTGTTCTAGTTGGATATTTGAAACTGATAGGATGTGGGCTGTGGTTTCTTCATTTTACAATATATCATTCACTTAAAGAAATATATATACATACTTTTAACCATGTTACTGAAAAAGAGAGGCATTTCTGGTTAATCAACATTGCCCAACATATATATTCGAATTTTAAATACAAAGAAAACGGGAAATTATCGTAACGAAAACCCATTACATTAAGACCAGGAAATAGAACGAACTTGCATTGGGGGAAAAATAATTCTAATTAACAAAGTGACAAAAATACAGTACATGGAAATATTCGTCCTAATGAGAGCGAAACAAATGGCCCGAAATTGCATAAACAGACATGGCATAATTATGAATATTATAGCCTCTCGTTTTCTTTTTCAGGAAATACTGTTGATTATATATATATATGATATAATTAGGTCATTTTCATTCGAATCACATGTTTTTCTTCATTTATTTCCAAACCTTTTCTCTCCCTTTTTTTCAATCGATTCCTGTAAATAAACCTTCTTTCGTTGACGTCTGACCTATGGCCTATGACCTATGACCCCTACCGACAAAATGGCTTAAAACACACACCAAGACACTGCAGACTATGCTCTAACGCCCTATCGTCATGCACGACCGAAAGATAATGAATAATTTCTAGAAGAAAGCAAGAAAATTAAAAAAAAAAAAAAATAGACAAATGAGATACCAGAAGCAAAGTCAAAGTTGCTCGTTGCAGATTGTTGCAGATTTTTTCTCGTGCTTGCAATGAAA